ACGAGCCTTTTGTAGGTTGATATTACATGAGAATGATTAATTTTTATATGATCGCTGGGAACGTTTCGCTTCGTGAAGAACTGATAAATGTTTGTGGTCGATTGTTCTGGTTCCAATCGTCCAACAAGTTACAATATTTCTAAATAGGCATATCCTACATATATAATCTGTTAAGTGTGTCTATTACTTTTTCGGTGTGTATGTGTGTATGTGTATGCGTGTTTGGATATGTGTACGTGTATGTGTAGTGTATGTATGTGGGTGTTCAACAGGAAATTGACGACTCCTGTTCCCGTGGACCTGGAGCTTCAAATTAGGTACGAGTTCAAATGGTAAGATGGGACACTCACGCTAAGCGGTTGGATTAAACTCCCCCGCAAGGCGCAGAACGTGAGCGAAAAATTTTTATTCATGTCATAAAAATATATATTGAGACTCGGATTCCGCACGGGTGAGGAGGGGGCGGTGGACGGAGGGAAGGAGCCGAACTTATGTGGAATGAGCGCACTTTATGTAAAGCGGAATAAGTGAGAGATGAACCGAGTCACTTGAACAGACAGAACTTGAGCGCACTCCTGACGGGAAGTGGGGTGAGGTGAGGGGAGCAGAAGTGTGCTGGGGTTGTCGGAGTGGGTCTGTTTGGCCGGAAACCAACAACTGATGTTCTCATGACCGCAGCGTCCAAATATGACAATTTCAACCGGAAAGGTAGAGAGCCCGGCATTCGCCGTTTCATTCCACTGTTACATATACAACGAGGTAGAAGCTGGAGTTGTTTGCTTGTTTGTTTCCTCAATGCAAAACTAAAAGAGGACTTGATGTGGCGCTTTTAATTCCTCACACATCTGAGACTTTTCAAGACGCTTCGGGCGAAAGAGATTTTTATAGCAAGAGGAATAACGAACAAGTTACCGAAGAGGATGGGACAGGATCGAAATCCGTCCTTGGCTTACGTTGCGCTCAGGAGTCAGCAACACAGTTATGAGGGAAAGATATGAATCTGTGTAATTCTTACAAATGTTTATAGGAGTAGCTAATATTGGATAAAAGTTTGAGCTGGAGCAGGATCTTGGATGGAGTGCAGTCATTTTTTATAATTTTCATTGAGATTTGATGGAGGAATTCTATTATAGAAGACCAAAAATTGGATGAGAGAAATTTTGAGCTGTGATATGGCTCTTGCAGTAGTAGTGTGCTCGAGAAATGCCTAGTTTCGATCTCCTTAACTTCGAAGTAGATTTGTATAAAATGTGAATTTATTTTTGAACTGGACTTCCTCGTGAAAGTATATCCGCAGCGAAGCAAAACTCAGATCTTTTTTGGACGTTGTACCCTTGCCGATGCTGAACAGCTGTTCAGATGACGCCATCCGTCCTTCTGGGTCGGATTCTTCAGAAATCGGGCTTGTTTATAAAAACACTTTTTTACAAAAGTTGAACTAGATCGACAAAGCAGTTTTCACATGCTTGAGCTCCTCCATACCTAACCACATGCGTAACCACCGAGCTTCAGCCTCTCCTTATTGTTAGAAGTAATATTTTGATTACTATCACCAATCGATGTACCCTTTTGCACCCTCATTTTTAAGTACTCTTCAGTAAAGTTATCAGTATTTTTTGCCCTCACCCCAATCTAGCCACTGACATGAACTTCGAAGACCATAACTTGGCGCGAGCGCACATTTCCCTTATTCGAGTACTGTTTGTATGGGAAACATTTACAGATTGGTTGGCTATGAGACTTCGTGGCACAGTGTTGAAAACGCCTAACTGCGACTATTCCCCCAATGGGCCAAACACGTGACGGGTACCTTCCTGTCGAGGCTCACATGCTGACCACAATCGATTTTCACCATGACGAAGAAAGGGTAGAACGGAAGGAATCGGAACCATGACGTCGCACTTGCCCAGCTCAGGATTGAAGGGTCCTTGCGCGATTGCAGTGTGTCAGTCTCCGAAAATTGGTGGAATAACAACTGACTGTATCCACGCTCTGAACCTCTGAGAAGAGGTATTTCATCACCCGTGCATCACATACAGTATGTCGTCTGGGAATCATCTCACATAGGGCGTTGCACAATCTCGCCGATTAACATTTCCTTTACCATTTCGCAAGATCAGCATTGTTTTTGCGATCTGGTACCTATTCTGAACTTGACGTTCCCACTGTTCCATAGCCGGTAAGGGTCAGTTATCGGCCTCAACAGTCGTCCTAGTGCTTGCTTTACTCTTCCTTTGTACTGATCATCGCAGGTGAGTTCTCATCTGAAATATACTACGGCCTATATAAATGAGTCCGAAAGGGCCACTTTGCCGCGTTAACGTCTTTATCCTTTCAGAGTTCAATAACCCGACTTCACAACTTTCTAGGTGTAGAAGAACATTGTGAGACCAACTGGAATTGCACGAAGCGTGGGAATGTCGGGCTCGATTCTGGCGAATAGTAACGTGGGAGAAATTTTCAAATTCAAGGTACAGAAAGGAAATCTACTCATAATGTTGGTATTTCGATTAAAGCACTGAAACTTGGATATACTTAAATGGCAGTCCCTTCCCTCAGTATTCCCTTGCCGTGGACTCCATTTCGGAAAAGAGGTCATTGGAAGCTTCGAATAGAGAAAACATTTCATCCCCATGTCCTTAACCTATCTAGA